TATATATATATATATATATATATATATATATATATATATATATATATCTCCACTTTCTATAAACAAATTCCACGACGAATCAAATCCTCTCCTAGCTAAAATTAAATTTAGGCTGTATTTCCTATAGTAGAATAAAACAATAAAATGTTTGATTCACAAATATAAACAAATGATACTGTTCTGACTAAAACTAGATTATTCTAAAATATAATTTTAAAAAATCACTCTATAAATTATAGCCTGATTACGTTGTTAAAAAAAAAAAGTAAAAGCATTACAATTGAAGCTTTAGCAAGCATTTGAATTTTTTTTTTCAATAAACATTCCTGTTTCTTTTTCACAGTCTCCACCTACCACACCCTTAATTGATTTATGGTCAAATATAAAGATTAAACTTTGGCTGGGTATGGGAGCTCCCATCTACAATCTCAGCTCCCTAGAGCCTGGGGCAGGAAAATTGCCTTGGGTTGGAGGCCAGCCTGGACTACAGAGTGATAGCCTGTCTCAAAACAGCATCATTCAAAGAACTGGGGAGAGGGGGACTAACAATGATAGATGCACCATTTATTCTAAATTTGTCCATTAACACCAAACATAGAGACGAGAGGGCAAATTTAATTTCAATACTCTCACTTAGTAATCTCAAAACAATAGCAAACTTCAAAAGCGTTCAGCCTGAAAAGTACCCACGTTGATAATCAGATTTCATGAGGTTGTCTGGTTAGGCTTAAGGATAATAGCATGACATGTTTTTATTCTTACATAGTTCCACCCAGAATTAGGAAGATGGAGGGGTGAAGGATGGATGTGAATGTGTGGATTACAACTGCTCCCTCAGTGGCAATAGGGAAAATGAAAACAATAAGCTATAATGAGACAAATGGTTGTTTGTAGTGCTCACGGGTGAACCTAGGACCCTGTGCACACAAGGCAAATACTTTATTACTGAGCTGTATCCCTGAATCATTCTGAGTCCAGATAAGATTTGAACTTATACTATTCCTGCTTTAGCATCTCAAGTAGTTAAGATTGTAAACTTGTGCAAAATTCCCCAGAAGACAATTTATCATGATAAGTATTTTAAACAAATTTAAATTAAAAATAAAATTCTTTACCATATGGTAAAGAATTCCCTCATGTGTAATTTAGATGACCCATATATAACCACCTTCCACATAAAAAATTCTAATTTGATAATGTAAAATAGTGTATTTTGAGCAGTTACAGTCTCTTTTTTCTTTAACAATGAGACTAAATTTACAGTGAATGGCATATTCTTCTACAAATACTTTTCCTATCAATGTTCAAAATTTCCAACAAACATAAAAAATTCCCCTTCTCTAAATTTTGTAGGAATAAATTTATAACTTTACTTAGGATAATGAAAACATAAGTATTTATAAAATAAAAATACCCTTAACAATGTAGAGTCCCTAATGAATTTACATTATCCATTTCCTTTCAACATTTTAAATTTTGGATTTTGTTTGGGTTTGAAATGATTTTCCAAATAAAAGATAGTAATGGTTATATACATAGTTCAGTGAGTGAAAAGCTTGCCTAGATTTTATGAAACCCCACTATAGAAACCAGACATGGCACTGCAAGTGTGTAGTCTAGAACATCGGTGATGGAGACAGGAATATCAAAGCTTAGGCCATCCGTGGCTATAAGGCAGGTTTGAGGTTTTTCTACAAGAGACCAAGTGTGTATATGTTCACCCATGAGCTTCCCTCCCATTCAGAGTTACTCATGCATAAATTCATATTTTCTTCCCTGTGCCTGGAATATCTGGTACAATATCTTTCACATATTGAAGCTTATTCATTCATATCAATTGAGCACCTAATTTATAGGATGTTTTAATGTTCATAAAATCCTGGGGGAGCTTATAATCCACTGAGGGAAATAACACGTAAAGTAACAGTGATGAGAGGAAGATATGAGGGCACTGAGGAAACAGACATCATAGTTCTAAGGGCAGAAGGAAATAAAATTGAGAGGCAAGGCTGTAACAGAAAAGCCTCTGAAGAGGCTGAGAAGAGAAAGGAGACAAGCTTGGAAGGAAATAGGTTGAAAGAAAAATTAACCTCTGTCTTAAGATGTGACAAGAAAGAAGA